TTGTGAATGTCTGTAATCCTAGTACCCAGGAGACTGAGGCAGGAGGCAGGAAGACTGCAAGTTCTGGGCCAGTTTGGTTGGCATAGCCAGTTCAAGGCCAGCCTGAGCTGAACAGTGAAACTCTTGTCTCAAAACAAAATGAAAGAAGACAAAACCAACAATAATAAAATAAAAGGTTTGGGGAATTCCACTTAGCACTCCTTACATTCAGTCCCTAGCGATAAAGAAAGAAAGAAAAGAAAGAGAAGGGGGAGAAAGGAGGGAGGACTTTGTCCGCACAAATCACAAGCATATGCAATTCTGTGCATTTTCATAAAGTCAATGTGCCCATGTAGCAACAAGTAGAACACGAAATAGACTTTCTTTGCTTTGCTTTTTTTTTTTCTTTTTTTCTTGTTTTGAAGACAGGATCTCAACCTGTAGTCCAGGCTGGACTCAAATTCACGATCCTCCTGCCTCAGCCTGCCATGCAGCAATTACAAATGTGTGTCACCGTGCTCAGCAGGAAAATTTCTTTTTTTTTTAAATTTTAAATTGAATTTATTGGTACATTCTGGGTAGACAGTACAGTTACATTCATTACTGGGATCTTGTACCTTTACATGCCAGGTCTTGGCTCTCATTTTTCCCCTTGTCCCCACCACCCCTTCCGAAGGAAAATTTCTAACACAAAAACAGGAAACTGGGAGGGAACTAAAAAAATTCAAAACCAGGGCCGGGGATTTAGCTCAGCGGTTTGGTGGCCTGCCTCGCAAGCGCAAGGACCTGAGTTCGATCCCTGGTACCGCAAAAACAAAAACAAACAAAAAAATTCAAAACCTTGGAAAAAAGAAGGCTGATGGATTGAATTCCTAGAAAAAGGAGCTGGAAATCAGAAGCTTAAAATATCAGAGTAGTGGTCCCCCAGGACTCAGGGTTAGAGCCAACTAATGCAAAGTGTGGAAAAGTCTTCATTAAAGAATTGTCAGGAGCCTGGGGATGTGGTACCAAGGTAGAGTGCTTGCATAGCACACTTGAGGCCCTGGATCGAGCCCCGGCACACGTAAAAAAATTGTCTTAATTATATCTTCACTCCTTATAGTTACACAGAGCATGCACAGTGCATAGTCTGCCTGCGTGTGACCTGACTCCGGGAATCAGCAGAGACGTTAAAAAAAACAATATCAGGGAGAAAAAACCTCAGGGCTAGCGCTGTGGCCCAGTAGGAGAGGGAGTATTTAGCGTGTGCAAGGCCAGAAGTCCAATCTTCAGCATCCAAGAAGGGAAGCAAGGAAAAGAAAAGTACGAAGATGAATGCATAGAAATGAAGTAAAAGAAAACGGGAATAGTTCAAGGAAGAGAGAGACATTCTTTTGGAAATTACGTTCTTTTCTTCAGCCCAGATGTCTCCCTAAGAATCACTCATTTTCAAAATCCAGCGGGTTGCATAGCAAGTCAAAGCCCCTTAAGTATCTCAAATTTACCGTGTTCTAAAATATTTGGTGTTCTCCCATCCCAGAGAATGCCCCTGAATTCTTTATCTCTCTTCACGGCATAACCATCTGTACTATCTCCAGGAATATGAAGTTTATCTTTCCCCCACCTATTTCTCATTCTTACTTTAAGCCATCTCTCTAATGTCTTGTAGACTCCATCTTAGAAATAGCTCTAAAATATGATTCCTATCTCGGTTCCCATGGTCCCAGATACATTTTTATCATTACTAATCTGAATTTTATCAATGGCCTCCGTGTCAGGGAAGGTTCTGCTGGAGAAACAGGATGAATAAGAAAAAGAGATTTATTTCAAGATATTGGCTTAGACAATTGTAGGGATTAGCAAATCCAAAATCCATACAGAAGACCAGCAGGCTAGAAACCCCAGGCAGGAGCTGCACTGTTGTCCATAGGCATAATTTAGACAAAAAAAAAAAAACAAGTAAAGTGGCATAGGCCTGTAATCTCAGTACTCAGAGGCTCAGGCAGGAGGATTGTCATGAATTCAAGGCCACCTGAACTAATAGCAAGACCCTGTTTCACACACACACACAAAAGCAGGCAGTTGTAGTGTTACACACTTATAATCTTAGCACTCTGGGAGGCTGAGGCAGGAAGATGAAAAGCTTAGTCCACCCACTCTGGGCAATAAGAAAGCATTAAAAAGGCTGGGGATGTAGCTTCACACAAATGACCTGGGTTCATTCCTAAAAAAAAAAAAAAAAATCAAGAAAGAAAGTTTCTAGAATCTCAGAAGAAATAATCTCATAATGGATTGGTTTGTTTTGTACTTTACATAAAATGCCATCGTACTATATTTTGTGTCTTCCTTTACTCAGCAATACTTTTTGTGAGAGTCATTCATGCTATACTTGATAGCAGTGTGTTAACTGTGTACAACTGAACCATATCCAAACTCTGGCCAATGGCCTTGTAATTTTCTGCATTTAATATGGCAAATTTCATCAGACTCCCCAAGAGGAACATACATCAGGCTGTCCCCAGAGAAACCGATCCTCCTTTTGTCAACAAGCAGGTCTTACAGGGTGAAATTTTTACTTGGAGAAATTGGATCCCTGGACAACCAACTACTGACCTGAACCAGATGGTCTGATGGGACTTGGCAGAATCAGTGTCTCCAGTAGAGGTTTTTGTTGTCATTGTTGTTTGGAAACAGGTTTTCGCTATGTTGTCCAGGCTTGCTGGCTTGAGACACTTCCTGCCTCAGCCTCCCAAATTCTGGGGTTATAAGCATGCCCCACCACATCTGCCTTGCAGTTGAGATCTTAAATCTTTTGTCTATCTTGGAAATCCTCATCCTAGCTTTTTGGTTAGGAGCTCAGGGAATCACTGTCTGTTCTTTTGTTTTTTTTTGGTACCAGGGATTGAACTCGGGTCCTTGCGCTTGCAAGCAGGACACCGAACCACTGAGCTAAATCCCTGGCCCCTGTCAGTTCTTTTGAACAGGCCAGTGGAGTTGACAAGCAGGAGGTTACTTGTTGATCCAGGGTTGGTTGGAAGCAGTGGCCGTCCTTCCCTGGTCACAGTGGGAGCAGAGATACACAGTGAAACCCAGGCCCCTTCTGATGAGTCACTGGAGCTTTCTGGTCCTGAAGACCCCAAGAAATGACACTCAGATGGCTCATGTGGTCAGGGATGGGTAACTGGCTGGGACTCATCTTGACGTCTGAAGAAACCCAGGAGATAGACTGGGCTAGTGTTTTCTTTCTTTATTGGTGGTTTGTTTGCTTGACATCTTTTTAAAATGAGTTCATGAATGGGCTTTCTTTTGGCTGATTCATAATCCACCTAACACACTTTGATCCCCTATGGTGTCTTTAACAGCAAGCTTTCTTTTCTTACTCTTTTTCCTTTTGAACAAAAGAAGCAGCAGCCGGAAGAGGCAATGATGTCAGGCAAGATTATATAGTGGACTTTGGTTTTCATTGTATTTACTTTTATGTGTCTCTTCCACTGGGTAAAGTACCACTGTTGTTTCACTTATGGTTTTGTCATAACTGCCTTTTCAAATAAAATTTGTTTAAATAAAATGAATCATTTATTTATTATTTGGAGGTTTTTTTGTTGTTGTTATTTGTTTCTTTTTTTGTTTTTGAGACAGGATCTTGCTATATATTTCAGGCTGGCCCTGAGCTCACTACGCAGTTCAGGCTGGCCTCAAACTCATGATGATCCTCCTGCATCAGCCTCCCAAGTAGTGGGATCACAGGTGTGTGTCACCACACCAATCAAAGTGAGTAATTGTAAAGAAGGCTATTAAGCCAGCGATAGGACAAGTGACAAACTGCAAAGGTATGTTGGGCTTGGAGATGGTAGAAGGAGGTGGGAAGACATGAAGGTGAGTGGGAGGGGCTGGTGTCAGCCAATCGGAGCCAAGAGAGGCGCTCTTGGTCTGAGCCCAGGTCTCCTCACCTGCCAGGGAACAGCAGTTATTCCTTTTATTTGCAGCACAGTATCCACAAACTTCCTGGCCACAGTTCAGGCTCTCTTATTGATAAAATTATTAGTATTACACATATAATAGGGTGAGTCACCACCCCAGGGCTGAGCCCAAATGGCTATTTCTTTTAATAAATTTTATTTTATTTGAACCCATTCACCCCCCCCACACACAAGCCTGCTCTTCTCCCATGTACAAAAACTTGGTTTCCATTTTTTCCTTCTATTTTCACTTTTTTGGTCCCTTCTTTCCTTTTTTCTTCCTTCCTCCCTGTTCTTCCCATTTGAACACTTTTTCCCATTTCCCAATATTTCAATTTCTCAATACATCTCAGGCCTTATTTTCACGTTCGGTTTCTCACAGCATAGAAACCATGTGGTATTTAAGTATGTGTGTCCAATTTATTTCCCAAGTGGCTATTTTTAACTCCCAGCCTGGACTGGGACATTTCCCGGGGCAGTGGATTAAGCAGTGCATGTTGAAATTAGGTGGATGTTTGCTTTTGAAGGTAAGAGAGAAGGAAAATGGGTTTTATTTTATTCTGTTTTGAGTCAGGGTCTTGCTATGTAGTTCAGGCTGGCCTTGAACTCATGGCAACCCTCCTGCCTCAGCCTCCCCAGAGCTGGGATTACAGGCATGCACCAAACATCTATGTATTATGTATATATGGCTTTGTTTGGGTTTTGTTTTTTTTTGTACCGGGCATTGAACTCGAGACTTCTCGCTTTCGAGGCAGGCGACAGAACCACTGAGCTAAATTCCTGGCCCTGTGTATATATGTATTTAACATTTACTTGGTAGTTGCCAGTGTTTATTTAAAAACTGTCGACAACACCTAAAACCTAAAACACTTAAAAAGAAAACAGAGACAACCTTAGGCAGCTTTGAATGCAGATTGTGTTTTACCTGCCACCTCTGCAATAACCACGAAAGGCAGGAGCACGGAGCAGCTGCTGGAACCTGTCCCTCGGCCCGGGGGAGGGGGAGGTACTAACTGCAGGCAGGTGGCAGGGACGGGCGGGGCCCCGAGGCTGGCAGCAAGGCACAGGGTCTGTCTACAGCCAGTGCGCACGCGTGGGACTGGCGCAGACTCCAGCGCCAGAAATCCCCGTTTTTCTCTAAACTAAGAGCGTCTCTACGCCTCAATACGAGCTTTACCACCCACCTTTGTCCTAATGCCCTCGACCAGCCAGGGAAATGGGGAGCCCTATTTCGCAGTTGAGAAAATCGAGGCTTGGAGCGGTGCTTCAGACACGCCGTCAAGGACATTCGCGAGTCTCTCCGACACAAAACCTCTCCGGAGGTTCCTTCCCCAGGTGTCCCCCTCTCCCCAACCCCGGGCTGACCAGACCAATCTTTGCAGCGGGGATGGGTGGAACAGGGGTCCTCCTGCGGGAAGCATGGAGCCAGAGAAAGGAGCGAATGCCCAGCCCGAGCCTCGCTGTGGCCGCTGAGACCCCTGCGCTGTCCCTTGCGCCACCGTGGCACTCACAGGGTTGAGCCGGCAACGTCCCCTGTGTTGGGCCCCGAGGCTCAGAGGGCGCGAGCGGAGCGCCAGGGCCCCAAGTTTCAGGGTTGCCTGGCGCTGGCTTTGGGCCCGCGAGCCCACCCAGAAGACCCGCGCCT